TGGTAATTCAGATGATGAACATCAAGTAGCCAGGTAGTTAGCAGTCCTTTGAAAAAACAACTTGAATCCAGTACAAAATGTACCAGTGAGTAGCACAACAAAGACAAGAAATATGAACTAGATCAGCGCCTTGGCTTGATTACAGATCGTTTCCTGCAGAAACACAAATTCAGAAAGATACATAAAAAGCACCTAACTTTAAGAGTGTAAGTACATTTCAGGGGCATTACTTGAATCTGTCTTTACCTTGTCCATCTTTACTGGTGCATTAGAGGATTCCCATAGGTGACTAACTGGAGGTTACTGGGAGTCTGCACCATGGAGCAAAAGCCACTTTTTGGACCCAGAGAGGACATACTCTGTTGGTTGTTTTGTTCACTTGTTTGCCTTAAGTACAGTTTGATCTCACTGCAGCCCCCGGAAAACCATGTTGATGTGTTTTGTGATGCAGTGAGCATAGCTCCCTGCTCCTTGCAGCTGAAGCCGAGCCGTGCACACCAGCGGGTGCCGGCACGGGCTCTGGCACCTCTCTGCCAGCAGCAGCAGGGCACCCAGCAGTGGGAGGAAATGGCAGTCGCAGGCGATGATATGGGTGGAGCTCCTCGCACCGGTTGTCCCGTGGGAGATAGCTTATCTGGGGACGGCTGTGTTTCTGGAATAATATACATTTGATTGAAAGCCAAAATTAGAGTAGGGAAGAAATTGGCTGCCAAGGGCTGATTGGTGCTTGGAGTCAAAGGAGGGGCAACACGGACCCCACAAGGAGGATCTCCTTATCCGTCAGCAGCAGTCTGCTCTACCTGCAGGTGTGCCCCAGTGGTTCCTGCTACTACTCTTCTTTCTGTTATTTTTGTTTCCCCTTAAAAAGCTGGCTGAGAGCCTCTTATTAAGAGGCCTTCATTTTTATCTGTTGTTCCCTCTTCATCACGTTCCAGTCTCTGGTAAAGAGTTCAGCTCTTTCGAGCAAAACAAGGTGCCAGCACCGCATCACTGGGCTGCCTTGCTGGCCTCGGACATTCACCTCCCAGTGTGCTAGTGGTCTCACTGTCCTGTCACACAGTTAATGCTGGACCCTTTTTTATTGGAAGCCCTCCATAACAGCTTGTGTAACATAGGCTGCATACAGCCCCTTTTATTTATTGAGGTGTTTCTTTTTGAACATAGCAATTAGGTTGCATTGTAGGCTCTAACTTTTTAGGCAATTCTGAGTTGGCCTCTAACTTTCAGTATTTTTGCACATGCAGATACCACAAATGCTTGATTAATTGGGCAATGCAGTATTGTATGTAGAAAGGAGAGGGCAAATGAGTAATTTTTAACAGCACTTGGATAAATTTGCTTTTTCCATAGCTAAATAACTAGTTCGTTTGAATCAGTTCCACCTATGTTTTGTTGTGTCTTCTGAATTTTACTGAAGAAGGGCTGAGGCCATTCCATAACTGATTATGGTTGCTCTGCCCAGACCTTTTGTTGGCCTTTTTCACACCTACATAATTTTTTGTCACTTCAGAAGGTCATAAGGGAAAGATACTATTAATGGAAACATAATTTAAATTAAAGAATCAGTCTTTGTTGTTGTCAAGCCCAGCCAGTGAATACTGACTCCTTAAATATTCTGTGGACAAACAACTTGCTGGTGTGCCTTACATTTCTGAGAATGGCTTCCTCCACCTGCAGTGCTCTTATGTGGTGAGAACAGTGCTGATGCCACAGTAAATGACCATGACGTAAAAAGGGGAAAGTTTGGATTTCAGGTCATAGCCAAACACTAGAATTTGGTGCCCTGTAACAAAACAGAATAGCTGTCATATCTTACATCGAAATAACAGGTGGAATTGCTGTCAATATTCTGTTTTATGATTTTTGCACCTATGTAAACAGGAAAAGATCCTGGCTGCTTTTGTTGACACATGTGGGCATGCTGAGGTGATTTATTTTGGCATGATAGGCTTTTCTAATCTCATTCTGCCTTTTTAGCAACATTTTCTATAATTTGTTGGAAAGGATGGTGTTAAAGGTTTTCTCCTCCTCATCATAACAGTGTTAATCCACTGTTCAAATTAGACAGGTATTGTTGAAGCTTTATCTGTCTGCAGCTTGAATAATTATGGTTCTTCATGAAAAACTCTTATTGGACTTTAAAGATACCATTTAAGCATCAACTAACATCAACAAAATATTTCTGACTTGTCTTGGAATAAAAAATAAGCCATTCAAACGAAAAATGACATGCACCCAAATTATTTGAAGCAACTTGAAGCGAGGTCTTTTCTTTGCTGTTGGCTACAAAGTACAAGCAAGACATTGCATGGACCAAAAATCAGATTATCATGGTTATTTTCAAAGAAAGGCTAAAGGACAACTTCTTAAAGGCAGATATGTGCCACAAGATGCAGTTAAGTACCTATTGGGATAAAAATACTAATGATGCTCAAATCCCATTAAATATGAAAGGGAGTTAGGGAACTCTATTGTTAAAATGCCCCAGAAACTTCAGTGTGATTTGTCTTTCTCTGTTACTCTCTAAATTCCTTTGATACCTAGGTCTTATGCTTTTTTTTTAATTCAAAAATCCCACCAGAGAAGAATATTACTTGGGAGGTGAATGTTCCCTTCCAAATGGGATTTTGGCCCAAGTACTTAAACCTGTGCTGGTGCCAGATTCTCACAAAACTGAAAGGATTTTACACCTGGAAAGGAGTCCCATAGCTATAAGAGAAGGTAAATTGGCAATAGGTTGAAAACAAATTACTAATTCTTCACATGCCTTTTTTTTTCTGGCTGCCTATTTCTCTGTCCTTTAAAAGCCACCCTCCATGTCCTATTTCCCAGGAGGTCCATTTGGTTTCTCCTTTCTCCCCGCTACCAACTCTTTCACTTCCTGCAAACACCTCCCTTCTCTCTCTGCATTGCTCAGCTCTTTCCAGGGAAGTGTGACTCTGTCTACTTGCCCTCTGTGCTGCCTTCTTGACTGTCCCAGCCTGTGTCTCATGCTAGGCCAGCTACACTGCTCTTTAATGTTAAATCATATCGTCACCCCTTTCCCCTTTGACATGTCAATTATTTTATTTTTTACCAAAGACTTGCATAAACCACCTTTAACCATAGAATACAGAATGATCTTTGTAACACAAATTTCAAATACTCTTCAGAAAGAGTGAAGCTCCCAGTAAACATCAGAGAGCACTAAAGACCCACCTAGTGCACTGCTTTTGGGTAATTTTTCCACGCTATGGGTAGGTAAAAAGGGAGGGGAGCAGAGCTGTCAGTTCAGTGACATTGATGCACTCCACACTCCTTGCAGGAAAAAAAGGGTTTGGATTAAACTCCTCTGAATTGCAGTAATGTGTACAAAGAGTAAAATACACAGCTTTTTAAGGTCATCTCCAACCAAATCAAAGTAAATTAGTTAATGAGTAATGTCTTAATGGTGTTAGAAGAGCCAATGAGAAATTATTACCATGAATTACTGTAGGGCTAATTAATGGCTACATGTATGTGTACATAGACATGGATGTGCACAGAAATTATTTCTACAACTGTATCGAGTATCTGTTTGAGAAACCTGCACAAATGCTGAGTGTGTTCTTGATCAGTGCATCTGAAAAGTCTGATTCCCAGGTATTTGTCATATCCTCAGTGCTCCAAGAGTGATTTTTTTCCCCAGTAGAGCAAGGGTGACACAGGAACCTTTTTCACAAAAGAAAAAAATTGTTGATTTTTATTTTCAATCTAAGCCTCTAGAAAAAAAAAGTGTAGCCTGCCTTCCTATTTCTCATTCAGATTTAATAAAAATCTTTAGAATTTCTACTGGAGCCATTTCTCTCTCTTGCTGTGTCTCCTGCATCAGTGGGGCTTTTTTCACTAGTTTTCATATGGAAAACAGGTTTTCAAAAAGCGGTAAATTTGAACTTGAAGAGATTTTGTTTGTTAATTAGACCTACAAAACCTCCATGAGGACCCAGGGCGAGGCAGATGGCCTCACCATCCATAAGCTCTCACTGGCAAAGTGTGATCCGCACCTGAACCAAGGCCCTGCCGTGAGCTGTGCTGCCAAATGGATGGGCTTGTAAGGGCATCCTGGATCCTTGGCCTCATCTGCATGGGGATGTTTGTTGTGCAGCACAGCTGTGGCAGTCCAGGGGCATAGCTGCCGAGTGCTTTAGTGAAGGTTAACGGGATCAATATCCCTATCATTGCTTGCATCAAGTAATGAACTCTATCATTACTTGTATCACTGTGCCCCATATGGCATGTTAATTTGCAGGTTACTACTCATAACACACAGGGTATGGTGCGTTTGTGCAGCTACTTTTGTGTAGATACATTTTGAGGACAAGCCTTAGAAATGCAAATTAAAAATATGTCAATATACACAGTAATATATATATAAAATCAAACTCCCTCTTCTTCCATTGCATAAGACCAGCAGACGTGGGAAGAAAACAATGCAATTTCACTTTTTATAACTGCAGTGACTAGAAACAAGGACATATAAAGAAGTAATCTCTGGCACACAAAGAGGGCCTGTTGGGAAAAAATAAATCCTGAGAGGAACCTTGCCCTGCAGGTGCCTGTGGTTTCCTTGGGGGCAGGAGAAGGCTCTGTTAGGTGCTCTGTTCCCATTGACCCTTTTGAGACATTTTAGCAAAAGTTCCTCTTGACTTCATCAGGAGTTAACCTGCGAGCAAGGGGAATACCCAAGAGAGGTTATGCATTTAGAAAATATGATAAAACTCCTTGGATGCTCTAGGAGAAAAAAAAAAAAAAAAAAAAAAAGAGCCATGTTTACAGATGGGAATTGTTCTGGGCAGGTCAAGATTCCCCTGCCAACTGTCTTGCTGTTGTTCCGGCTTAATCCTAAACTGCTTGTGTTGCTTCTGTGGTGATAGTTCTGTCTTTCTCCTGGTTATTTCTCTTATAGTGATAATGCCATCTTCTTTTACATTTACTGCTAGCAGTACCACAAACCAGCATCCTGTTTGCCTTCTTTATTGCAGCTGTGTACGGGGCAGAAGGCTTTAGGGACTTTCATGCAATAATTCCCAAATGTTTTTCCCGTAAGTATACTGCAAACTCAGCTCACTACAAACCATTTCCATCTAGTTCCTACTTTTATGATTTTTGTTTGTGTCATTTGGCTTCTCAGTAATGTATGTTTGTCTACATACACTACCAAAGGGCTTAAGTAGTCTGATCTTTTTCTTCGTTTACATGTATTTTGTTTTAACTTAACATAAAGTCTACTTCAAAAGCCACCTTCTCCAAATCCACAGCAGGCAAGGGGCCTGTAATCATTTTGTATAAATATATTTGCATTCAAATTATTGTTCGTATAATTAAGATAAAAAAATTGGTGTGTGAATTATGGAAAATCTGTCATACCCTCAAGCCAAATAATTCTATTGCTTCTGTTTGCCATGGTGAAAACAGCAGTACGGGGTTGTAGTCCACTAAATTTGCAGAATAGTGTAGATCATCTTTGTAAATCATTCTTGGGTCATTGATTTTTTTTTTTTTTACATATCTCTAAATTATTCCTGTTTTTAGGGCATACATTTTAAAGGAAAAACTGATATTTGTGATGTGCACTCATTCTGTCTTGCATATGATTTCTATTAAAAATGCAATATTTTAAAAATCATTAAAATGCCTAGATTGATAGACTTTATAAAAGGTGTCCAGTCAAGCAGTGTTCAGAAATGTGAACACCTTTACAGCCAACATATTTCCCAGTAGGATTTTGAGTCAGATACTCTTGTCAGTCACATCCATGCAGTCCTCCTGGGACATCTGGGAGGTTGCAGGGTGTAGCGGAGAAGAGTTTGTCAAACCTTTCAATTTCAAATGAATGTCAAGGTCTTTCATGTGTTTGGGTAACTGCTGCCTTTAGCTTAATTATGTCATTTCTACACCACCACTTACGAATAAGGCTACCATGAAATTAATGTTCCACAAAACGAAAAGACTTGGTCTTTATTGGGTGGAACAGACCCCTCGCATACTCAGCTAGCCACTAAAGTAAATGCTCGCCTTTTTGGGGAGGGGCAACGGAAGAGGTTTCTCACTGAAAGGAAAGTAAGATTTGGGACAATGAAATAGTCTTTTTCAGACTAATGAAGAACCATTTTTTCACCAAAATCATCAGATCAGAAAAGAGGGAAATAACTGTAAAGATTATTTTTTCTACACAAAATATCATACAGTTCTGTAGGGAGAGGAGGAATTAATAGTGGCATTAACTGATCTGAATCTTAGCCCTTTTCCATAACGTTTAGATTTGCTGTGTTCATATAAGATCAAATTTACCAACCTATGCATTATCACATGTAGTGAGGCTATGCCAAATTTATACCTGAGTTGTTCTTTTAGCTGCAGGTAATTGTCACCTATGGGATTATAACTCAAAGGATTTACCCATAAAGTCTAAACAGTTCTCCCACCTGCCTTTGTTTATTTGACTGGTTTTTAATAGTAGCTCATGGCTGTATAGATCTCTCCTCTTACTCAGTGATCCTAATCCTGCTGTCCTAAAAACCAATTAACAGACCTATAACTTCCTGTTATGCTAGTTCTTGCTCTTAAATTCTCCCTTCCATCCCTCCCCACTCTGGTTTCTTTATCAGTGTTTGTACTCTTTGCTTTCCCTTTGTCATTGCTTATCCCATAGAACTGCAAACCAAATATTTTGATTCAGTACAACCCTTGGGATCTTCCTGCCAGGTGGAGAATGTTGCATTTTCAGTTCATTTGCATCCTTTGTCTTTGATGAGTTACTTACTTTCACAATTGTTTTGGACAAATCCATGTGAAGTAGATTCATTTTAAGTTTCATTCCAATTATTCTGAATTGTCAAAATGAAGGTTACAAATGCAAAAATCTCAAAGTGACCTAGGAACAGACTTGTAATGTCGTTTGTGTTCCCAGCTCCCTGGATGCCTTGTATTTGTCTTATTGATATTCACTGTTCATTGCTCCATGTGTTACAAAGTCATCGTATTGCCCATAGAAATGTAGTTGTGTTTGTAGCTTTTGTTATTTAGATGTATTGTACATGCTGTTTAGAAGTTATCTCCTTTGATGTAATTGTTTCTTTGCCACCATATTTATTCTGTAACACAACTGAGTGGCATCCTGTATTGTTTTTTTCAGCTGGTAATATTAAAATAGAGACTCAGAGTGATGAAGAGAATGGGCGTGCCTGTGAAATGAATGGGGAAGAATGTGCGGAGGATTTACGAATGCTTGATACCTCGGGAGAGAAAATGAATGGCTCACACAATGGCCCAGGCAGCAAGGCTATGTCAGGAGTTGGAGGCATTCGACTTCCTAACGGAAAGCTAAAATGTGATATCTGTGGGATAATTTGCATCGGTCCCAATGTACTCATGGTTCACAAACGAAGCCACACTGGTAAGGCCTGCCATAGTTTTTACTTTAGTTGACAAGAACTGGCCACTTATTAGGAACTAAGACTTATTTTCTGTATCATGCACATGTTCCCTCTTCTAAGATAATGCAGCATCGATGGGCATTTGGAACTCGGTTATTTTGTTACACCATTTCGGACAGCACAGGAATTGAGATTTCTCCTTGATAAGAGTCTATCTATTAGGCTAGAAATTGTGCAATTTGTTTGGTTTGAAGCTACATGAAAAATTCATTTTTTCTTTTTAAGTAAAGAAGTCCTGTTTAATTTCTAAGAAATTTCTAAGAATTGCTGAAGAAAAACCCATTTGTGGCTAACTCTGAAATTGACCCAGTTCTGATGTTTCCAACAATGCAAAAAAGCTCATTATGGATCAGTGATTAGGAAAGTAATTTGCAAAATAAATGTTAAGGGAACTGTACTAGCAGTCTTAATTTTAAAAGAGGTTAATTTTATGTCAAATGTTTCATGAAGTAAAAACAAGTACTGTCACTGGTCAAACCTGGACTAAAAGGTTTCCACTGAAACACCAAAAGGGACATGTAAAGATGTTGTGCTCCATAGGAATGGCTTTTCATTATATAGTGCTGTAAATCTTCTTGCCTCAATTTTCTAGTTTTAAATAGTCTCAAAGAGTGTAAAAAAATGAAGAGGCTGAAACAAATGAAGAAGGACCAGAGTGAGTCTCATCTTCCCTGATATAAGCTGTCTGAAAATTAGGCTTCCAATAGATCCATAGTCAAAGAAGAAGAACTGAACTGTACTGTTGTGTTACAAAAGTTTCTTTGAAAATAAATAAAGTACTTGGCATTTTTGCATGAATATTCAAATGACAGGAAGTTTTAAAATATTTTTAAGGTGAGAACAACCTGTCCAGTGGTTGTATTCCACAGAAATAGTCATGCTAGTGAACAAGTAGTTACTTTCTTCCTCTGCATCTTCCCAATCATGCTTAAATTACTAAATTTAGAATTACTAGGGACTGAGATTAGCAAAGTGTTTTCAGAGCTTCATAGAGAGGATCTGTGAAAAGACCCTGAGTGTTGTCCATCTCCCCCAGTGCTAATGTCTGTCATTGTAACTGTGGCTGTTCAAGCTCTGTGATCTGTTAGTGTAGCGTGGGTTAGCCACGTTCAGAAGCATTACTGGTGATAGTTAGCAATGCTATTACATTGCTTACTTCAAAGTACTCTTCAATTCAGTATGATAAATTCCTTCATCAGGGAAGAGCAGGTAATTATCTTTATTGGAAATGCCACAACTAGTTCTCAGAAGACAGGCTGCAGCCTACTTCCTAGATATAATAAAGTTGGTCGATTGTTTCCTTTTTTTTTTTAATTGAATATTGATGTGATCCTTTAAAAGTTAATAGAATGTATATAGAAAATTACTTGGACATGAGGCCTTTTAAACAGATCCATGGGCTTGAAGAGGATGCTGCAGTAGCTGAAATAAAATGTTGCAACTTAAAATGCATTTAGAGGCAGAAGGTTTTGTGTTTAAGGACGCTGCTGTTTTATTAAAACTATGCTGTTACTGCTTCTCGGGGGCTGTTTCAGGTCCCTGGGGGTCAGAGGCAGTGTTTGCACCAGGGCTGAATGGCCTCTGTGGGGACACACCTGATTTTAGGGAGGCGGTGGGCAGAGCTGCCTTTGTTTCCAGTGCACTGGCTGGTACCTGGCAGGATGAGTCTCCAGAGGATGACCTGGGCTCACTGTTCCCTGTGGCAGTGTCCCCAGGGGCCACTGGTTTCCCTGACACAGACCTCCAGGTGCCCATTCTCCTTGCCTGGCAGCGGGACTCAGGTGCCACACAAGGACTGTCACTCTGAGACTTCTCCACCCTTTGCAAAGCCCTCCCCTTGCCAATGGGATCAACTTTTTAATCAGGGAACATAGTCAAAGCCTACAGTGGAAGCACCTCACGAGCTGCACTTCACTCAGCAGGACCTCCTTCTTTTACACTTAATAAAACTAAAGGGTGGTAAATTGCACCCTTGAGTCCTTCCATGGGAAGAAAGCCTTTGCTTTTGCTCCACCTCACCCTCAGCTCCTTTCCTGTGCAGCCTCTTTGGGTGAGCGTAGGTGGTTTTTGGGGGGCTGACAAGGGAGTGGAGCCTAAGAGCTGGTAGTTTAAATTAAAGGGATGTCATGGGGAAACAGCGGTGACTGCTTTTCCTTTCAGCTGTGCTGTGAAAATTAAAGTAGAAATGGGATATACTATTACAGACATTTAACTGACTACGCCGAAGCCCATTTCAATACATGGCCAGTGAAGGAATCAGCCTTGCAAATGAATTACTTCGCTGCTAATTCATGTAAAACCTGCATATGCAGTGAGGTTTTCTTAAATAAATATTTGATAGGTGAACATAACTCTAGCACACCAAAATGCCAAACTAAAATGACTGCCCAACCTGATAAAAGGCATAATTATTTTTAATGAATACACCTGCCAAGTGCAGATATGTAGAGCAGCACCTGATATTTCTGCCCTCTCCTGTCTGCAAGCAGCTGTACAGCACTGACTGCTTCCTAGCACCTTACCTGTTGCTCCTGTCTGAAGAGAAAATCCCACTCACAGATGCCTGACTCTCCTTACTCTCCTTCCCCAAGGCTTGAAATACATTGATTTTCTCCAGCTTGCACTGCCTTGCTTGGTGTTTAGGAAAAAAGAGGTCTAGAAAGGAGAGACAAATGCCCCCTGACTCCCTGGTGCTGAGACCTCAGGCTATAGATTCAGTCTTTGCTTGCTCAGTGTGCACATATGTATGTGCACGTGTGCATATGTATATATATGCATATAAACATGTGTGAGCATAGGTATATATATTCCCTTCTTATATGTACATTCCTTTAACTTAAATCACCAGTTAGTTCCCTAATGTCTTGTTAGTTGAGTCTGAATGTCTCAGATTTATTTAGAAAACTAATGCCCACTGAAGAATGAGCATTATAAAAAAAGAGAAGAGGGCTATGCATGTCTCTGAATATTAGGTGATTTTGTCATCTATTGTTCAAGAAATGAGAAAGATTTCAATTAAGATGATAAATATTCTTCAGTGAATAAGTAGTCCAGGGCCTGTGCTCCCACTTAGGCTTGCAAATCACTGCAATGGAGGTTAATTCAGTCCAGGGTCCCACTGCAGTTTTTGCTCCTGGGGCCATATTTTTCTGTAGCTACACACCATATGGTGAAATCCGCACAGGATAGACGTGCTGTTCAGAACTGGCGAGAAAATAACACACAAAGCTAACTGTTTAAACAAAAGATGCATTATGTATTTTTTTCTTTCTGTTGTGTCCCTTCCCCATTTTTGGGGGATAGCACCACACCCAGTAACCTTCCATCAGCAACTGTCTCCATCCTAGGGCTGGGAGCTCTGCTGGGCTCACAAGATAGGCGTTCCCCACCCTGGTAGTTGCAGCATGGGTGGCCAAGCTACACGTAGTTTCGGGGACTTTCAGTGTTGGTGTCATTTCTCTTGTATAGCAATGTGAGTGCAGGTTGCCTTACATTTGATCCCACTGTAAATTTTGTAGAAATATTTGGTATGCAGCAGTCTCGTTTGAAATGATCTGTCTTCTCCACCCAGTGCAAGATTTCACCCTGTAATTGCAAGAGCTGTAGGCTGGAGATACATTTCATTCTTACTTTGCTTTGCATTTAATTCCTGGAGTACTTTTGTGATGCTCATTTTCTCCTCTTAGGCTCTTCTGAGTAAAAATAACAAATGAAAGCTAGAAAAACTGTTTAGTAAGAATTAACCATAGCTTCTGAATTTGTGTCCCCCATGACAAACTGACTTCTTCATTACTGTTTCAGTCCATTTCTGAAAAATACCTTCCACGCTGAATAACTGCTCCAAAGATTAAGAGACAGACCCTTATCCATTTTCATTCCCCCCTAACAACTACCGTGCATGGTTTACGAAGTACCTTGCATAATCCTGTAAGGCTAATGCTGGCAGTTCTGTGGGCCACGCCAGTTGAACCAGTTGTGGATGTAGTTTAGTTGAATACAGGTACTTGATGGACAAAGAAAGTGAGCTCATTTGGCTCAGACAGGGACTATGCTGACCTGCTTGAAGCCGTTTGAGTAATGAAAATATCTTGCTATAAAGTAGCTTCATTTCACTGTTTGCTGATTGCTAAAACTGCCAGCCCTGATGGTAGAGTTTGCAGATCTGAGAGCTGGGACTGTGCTGCTGTCTAATTGATTTTCAGGTGGTTCTTTGTGCATTACACGAAAGTCAAAAATTATCATGCTGCACATATATGCACATGTGTGGACATACAAGTTGGTCCTAGATGTGCAAAATAATACATGATGGCTAAGTGAGAGAGAAGAAAGAAATAGTTTAACTTGTATTTATTTTTTTATATCTCAACTTCAGCACTGAAATTTTAAAGTTATTGTTATCTAAAGAAAAATAAAACTAAGAACAGGTCATCTCTGGGCTGTTTCTAATATTGTCAATGCATTATAATTACTATAGCAGATTACATTTATGCCTAAGAGAAACAGATTTCAGTAAATGAGTTTCAAAAGGTGGTTTGACTTAGTTGAGGGCTACAGAGAAATGTGCACGCAGTTCCTGCTGATGGAGTGTTCTGGTGTATAAATTTTCCTTTACTCCTATCTGGTAGTACTGGAAACATATTTTATTTCCCACTGACTTAAGAAAAGGCTTCATCTATCTTAAATTTTAAATAAATATCTAAGTGAATAAATTAGCATATTGATTTTAAACAGCACTAAAAAGCTAACAACAGCCATATTAATTTTTGTAAAGGCTAGTTGATTCGCTTTCTTGCTAACAGGCACCAGTTTGAACAAATCAAGGCTCTGTCTCTTCAGGTTTTTCCCTGTGTCTGTCCAAAGTGTAGGCCAGCAGAGCCCATTTGTGCAGCTCCTCTGTTCATACCTTACCTACAGAAGGGTTGGGACTTTAGCATGGAAGGACAGGCTTCCTTTGCACTGTCTTAACTTATGTGATTTTACTCTTTCTCTTTCTCTTTCTCTGTCTCTTTCCTGATTTGGCTGCTTAGGGACAGACAGGTAATGGAGAAGAAATTGAAAGGGAAAATACAGGGAAAATGTAAATGAAAAGAAGTTATTATAACTGTTATAATGAAGTGCCTTTCATTTAAATATAAGAATGTAACGCTGAAATGAACTTGTGATCCTGAAATGCATTTTTAATGAGTTTCCTTTTTATTTTGCTGCTTCAGTGGCATATTTTAAAGACCCTTTGAAAAAAGCCACATTAAAAACCCCACCAAATGCCACAACATGCAAAATTGGATATTGGTTTATTCCAAAACTGCTGATCAGGAAGAGTGGCTCTTCAACACAAAATGTTGCAGTCACTTTATTTAAATGAGTTTGAATTTGCATTGTGATGTGCCATTCTGATTTAGAAAAAAAAAATTAGATTTTCAGATCAAATTGACCCAGCCAGTGAAGCATTAAGAAACTGGCAGGTTTAGTCTGAAAGCCTCATGTTATATCAAACCTGCAGCCGGTGGAAGTCACAGAGCAGCAGTGAGAAAACAACTTTCTCACTGAAATCTTTCTCTTGTTACCGCATAAGAATTTTTGTTCTCACATATTTTCTCCTTCTCCCTGTAGGAGAACGCCCTTTCCAGTGCAATCAGTGTGGAGCCTCCTTTACACAGAAGGGCAACCTTCTGCGCCACATAAAGTTGCACTCAGGTGAAAAGCCCTTCAAGTGTCACCTGTGTAACTACGCCTGCCGTCGTAGGGATGCCCTCACGGGACACCTGAGGACTCACTCGGGTAAGTGAAGGTGCAGGACCATCCAGGGGTGCTCGTCACTGCAACTGATGAGGAGATAAGGGGCGTTCATGGACACCAAGCCCGAGAGGTCTTCTCACCCTGGGAAGGCAAGTAGCCCCATGTCAGGATTAACCAAGCTGTGAGCTGGCTGCAGTGTTTTAGCAGCAAAGAAATTACTAAAACCACATCTCACGCTCATGATCCTTCACCGGAAGAACTGGGGGTTTTTTCCCATACTTCTTGGGTTTCATCTTACAAGCCTCATGTGAGTAATCCATTTGATGGAACTATGAACATGAATTAAAGTTGATGAATGTTTTAGGGTTTGAATGGCATTTATCCACATATAGGCACAATTTAAGGTCTAAACACAGTAGGTCTGAAGTCACAAAGTCTCAAAAGCCTCCAGTCTGGTAGTCATTCTCGACCTAAGGAGTGAATGCCACCCCCAGCATTTAGCAGCACTTAGTTGCGGCACCTTGTTATTAAAAGTACTTTGAAAGAGAAAGGGTGGGGAAGAGGGAGAATAGGGAGAGGAAAAGATAATAATCTTCCAAAAGAGAAAGCTCTGCTAGTTTTGCAGTGTTTTGTCTCAACAGTAATATGGAATCTGAATAAATATTTCTTAATAGCTGCACTTGTCCATTACCTCGAACCTCTCATTGTTTGACAGAAACCATAGTCAGGTACCTTCTGTGAAGCAAAACCAATTTAGCACCTTTAAAGTGCCTTTAAAAACATAGTGTTGTCTCATCTAGTTTCCCAAGGTAAGCTGGAAATGCAAATTGTTATTTGGGTAGGAGACCTCCAAAACACATTGCTGGAGCTGACACGGGTAATTTTACTTGTAAAAGGTGGCTTCGGGACCAAGTTCAGGGCAGCAGAAGGGGAGCTCTCAAAGTGACATTTTTGTGTTGCACAAAACTAAGGAATTTCTCCTCTAGCACATTAAATAATAAGATTCCTAGTGTGTGTCTCAGATGTCCAAAATAATTTCCACTTCTCCTGTTTGATCCTGGCCCAATTCAGGAAAGCACATCTTTAAAATACTATTTGCCTCCCTCTCCCTTGCTGTTTCTGATTTCTATGGCTGCACAATTTTAAGCATAATTTTTCATATATACATGAAATTACATCTAGACACTTTTGTCAGAGACTGAGGATTCCATAGCTAAAGAGACAATGCATAAACTATAGATTGTGATTAGTTCCTGCAATTAGCAAATTGTCATCAGTACATTATAAAGCAAGTTGTATGTCTGAGTCTGATTTTCACCTAAGAATTTGTAAATAAAATTCAAAAGTTAGTCTGTGTAACCATCTAATCTATATATCACATATATATATATGAAATCACATGTATGTGTGAAATCGCATATAAGGTGACAGTCTTGTCATGCTAAGACAGAAAATTCAGGTCCAAAAGTCCAGGAAACCATGTTGTAACTTTGAAATTCCTGGAACTACCTACATCTGGATTGGTGTAACACAGATAAAATTTTGTCATGCCATTTCTCTTGAATTTCCAGAAGCAGAAAACATGTGAAATCTGGCATTGTCCTAAAAGGGTTGAGCTGGTTCTTGGTTACATCAGAACTGACATCCAGCTGTGCGCAGGTGTCTCTAGCTACACCACCAGGTCTCCTGTTGGCAGTCTCTGTGGGAGCTAGGCACTAAAGCAACTACACTCAGGCCCTTGAAGGTGTCTCAGTTTCTAACTTGTATAGATGCCGTTTTTGAAGATTTAATGTCACAGTCCTTATCTGATGTGAATCATCTGAAATCAGCTTGCAGCACCCACAGAACTGGCCTGTTGATGTAAAGATATACAACTGGTTTTCCATTAGTTTTGGAGTTTTTTTTAAATTGTCAAAGTCTTTCTTCAGTTCACTACAGCATGGGTTTGTTTTTGGGGTGAGCTTTTTTCCTGTTCGTCTTACATTATTAATATGCTGTTGAATACCTCATCTGAATCTCTCAATTAATTTTCTCCAGTTGGCAAACCGCATAAGTGTGGATACTGTGGTCGCAGCTATAAGCAGCGCAGCTCTTTGGAAGAACATAAAGAACGCTGTCATAACTACCTGCAAACCATGAATATCTCAAGCAGCCTTTATTCAGGTAACAAACATGTCCATTTGGGGATTAACACTGTCTTGTCATGTACACAGAAAAAGGAGTGCAAGAGGAACAGTAGTACCATTCGTGGCGTCTTTTGCATTGAGGAAGCACCCCCCATACGTATGATATTGCATCTGGATTCATTCTGTATTTGATAAATACTTGGCTGTTGTCTTGTTTTGTTTAGCTCAAACAAAAAATCAAAATAAAACTTAGGCATGTAGCAAAATGCTTGCAAGACCTGGAAAATTTCAGTTCACCATCTCAAGACAGTATGACTACATAATCTCACCACCTTTCCCTTTTGCTTGGAGTCCTATATTGCAGTACTCCTGTGGATGTATTCTTAATAAAGACTTAATATCAGTGTTCCAGGTAGGGCTGCAGAGTCTTCTGCACTGCACATTTCCTGCCCTTCCCAGGCCCAGCTTAAGGGGCCTACTTGACCACTGGGACCAATTCATCTAACAAGGATGAGCCACCTGTCTTTGATTTTACTCATCCAAGCAAGAGTTTAGCCAGCTTGACTGAGACAGTCCACGAAGGCTAATAATTTGTTGACAGACTTCT